TGCGTGCGTTCGACGGGGCGATTTCGCGCGAACACTTCTCTCGCAGCACATCACGCGTGGAAAACGCGACTATCACTGTACGCGCGAGGAGACACGAATCCAAGTTGAACAACTCGGTGCAGTCCCGGCGCCCGAGAATACGACGGCGCCGTAGCGACGCCGACCGCGCGCGACATTTCGGCCGGGATTGTCCACATTTACGCGTCTCGATGGACTACCACTCGCGAGGATCGAGTCTACGTCGCACGATTGTCGAGCTGAACAACGTTAGCGCACTTGTGCGTACCGTAAAACGCGTCGACCGACACACGAAACCGATTCACTGCGCGTCCACGGCGCTCCTCGAATTAACGGATTAACATGGCGTCGTTCCCGGCAGCTACTGCGCGGCGCTGCTGCTGCGGCACTGCGCGAATCACGTCCACAACGCCATGTATTTCGAATAGAGGAAACGGCAAGTTTCTCTCTCCCGAGGAACGAAAAAGTCGCGTAATTACGCGGAATATGATCGCGCACATCGCCCCGTGGCGTACGTGCCGGCGGCTCGAACGATACTGCGAAGAGCGAACGTCCTCTGACCGCGCGGCGGTCGCCGGCGGCGCGGCGGCTCGACGTAAACATTGCCGAGCGGCGCGCGGGTATGAAAAACATAGAAAAAACTCTGACGAATAATGCAAGAAACGCCGTACCTGCTCCGTTAATTTTCACGTATAAACGGCTATCATTCTGCGTCGGTAACATCGCTCGTGGATGTATCGAGACTAATTGATAATTTAGATATAATTCCTCGCGTTTTCTCTTCTAATTACGCGTGATATTCATCTCGCGACAAATCAACGATACGATTGCGGATCACGACAATTACTGAAAGTAAGCGAGTGATAAATGTTAACGATTCGTACGAGACGATCGCGTTAAGTCCGTATCAGACTACGGATTGAGATTGGGATTAGATTGAAATTGGACCAATCAGAGTAAAAGTTACTGAACTTAAGATTAGTAAACTTTACTGTGATTGGTTAAATTTCAATCTAATCCCAATCCCAATCCGTAGTCTGATACGGGCTTTACGGTGAGCGATGCGAAAACACACGTAATATCCGCGTCGCTTGACTGACTCGCGCCGAATATTTCGGCTGAATAGACTGTGTTCGACCGAGGTATTTGCGACGCTACGTCATTGTTTTTTTGAACCGGCGCTCGGCTTTCGACCGAGTTGTTTACGACGCTCGGTCTATTATTTCTTGGAATCGCTGCTCGGTCCCCCCCTACGGTGCTCGGCGAAGCAATCGGTCGTGCCTACACAAAATCATTTGCGCGACAACAGTCGAACGGGTCGGTTAGTGTTCTGCGCCGCTCCGCATGTCGTTTATTATTTCTTGATACGAGTTCGCGACAAGTACGGGTGGAAACCGCGATCGTTGAATCCCCGGCGATTTGCCATCGACGCTCGGTTAGCCAGCAAAGATAGATATCTAGCGCGATTCGTACACGAGATGTGTAGTCCAAGAATGAAAGCGCTGGTGACTTAAAATTACTTGTTCGTTGCAATAATTAAGGACGATAATTACTTCAGTAATCGACATTAGATTTTACATCTTTAATCGACATTAGACATTAAATGTTTAATTATTTTCGTTGCGTTTATTGTACGGTGTTAAATGTGTTAGGATCTTGAAATTGTTCTTTTATTAACGCAATCATATAAATGCCAATTTGAATGCAGAACTTTGAGTCGAATATTATGAAAGATTAAATGTCAATTAATCTTATCCGTGTTTAATTATATAATTGTAATATTTACTCATCGATATTTGACATTTATACATCAATTTCTGTCGATAAAAATTCATACCGTCGGATAAATTGACCAAAGGAACACCGAGTGCGAATAGCAACTACGTGCGATCGTATATTTTTCGTGTTTCCTTATTTTCCTGTCGCGTGTGATTAATGCTGAGGTGTTATACAAAGTGCCACGAAGTGTCGTCAATCATTCCACGGAGTTTGGTCAATCATGCCACGAAACGTAAGTACACTTTTCATATGAGATTAATTACGAGAAATTGAATATAAACGATTTCTTTTTATATTTGGTATAGAAAATTCATTTGTTTATTACATTTGTGAGTATGCGCGAATTAAATCGTACATCGTTAAGTTTGTCAGCACGCAAGTTTCAAAGAAAACAAAATTTAGTGAATTTCTGATTATTCTTCGACGGATGATTGTGTTTTAATTAACCGAATACTGCGATCGTACAAAGTTTGCTTGACGGGACTGTCGTACATTTGTTATTAAAATCGTTAATTGTTATTGAAAATGTATTCGATGCAGCTTTAATATAACACATACATATATCCTCTATTTCATTTCGACCTAAAAAACGATGTAAAAGGACGTGAGAAAGATTTTCATAAATTCAGGACGGAAGGAAATTGCGCAAACCGATTAATGAAATCGCGCGTGATAACAATCTTACACGCTTAGCAAGATGCTTCGATTTGCTTTACAAGAACGACCGTGAGAAAGGCGGAACGGACTGAACGCGATTTAGCGTAGAGACAGTAAGGCAACGCCGATGACGAATAAATAAAGCAACGTTTTGACTTAGAAATTATTTATTAACAGGCGAAACAATATCATCAATCATACAAATAATGCATCCTATGACTATCTTACGAGGGCGCGTTGAGATTTCACTTGCTCGAATATTACGATCATACGACAGACTCTCACTCACTCTCTTCGTCATATACCTCATTCAGAAACAATTGCCCCATATGCAATACGGCCAATGGTATACACATGCACGCACGCATCATGATATTATCATATATTCTCGAGAACACATTTACGCTACGGATTCTCGACGAACGTGTCCACGTATAAGTGTTACTAAATATTGTGCCAAGATTTCCGATGGGATACGAGAGGAGATTGTGTAAATCAAATCTCTTTACATATAAAGGACATCTCGGAATTGCAGAGATCAACAATAACGACATTAACTCGCACGATCGCTTTATAGTATATGTAAAAAGATCTGATACGTAATTATTGACATTGGTAGATGCCAAAGTTTCACAGTCGATATAAAACTTGCTCGCAGCAACTCACTTTAAGAAGAACAGACACACCTTATTAAAAGGAAAAGAACCTTTTGTTCTTAGCCGTTCGTTTGCCGACAATAGATCGCGCAAACATGAGATTTTTATAAAAAATAAATTGCTATGTTGTATTTTGTCTATGGATGTGAAAATCATGTATAATTAAGAAATAATATTGATGTTTTTTTTTAATCAAATAATGAGTAAATTAAAACGTCCTACGAAAAGAATACGAGGGGAATAAACCGCGGAGGAGGAAAAACGGATTCGTCGAGGTCTTAGAAGACTCGCATTACAAACGCACTACGAAAATAATATGTAATTATATCGAATGTTAGAACATCCCCGAATGTTGCTCACTTCTTCTCTAGTATATTGCATTTAAATTAATTACGAAAATCTTGCTGCACTGTACTGCACTCAATCTCATTACAGTTCATCCTTAACTATTGTATATCTATTTTTGCTTGGCGCCAGTTTTTTAAACGCTGACTCCGGCGGCGTTGTGGGCGTTTTCACCTGTTTCCCGGTAACTGGTATTTCATTGCTACTGATTTCCGGACCGTAATGGAACTCGCGATGAAGCTTTCCGGAATACAAGTCCTGCAGAAAAGCCTTGAGTTTTCCTTCCACAAAAATGTCATTGAAGTCCTTGAACAGATACATGTGTCTAAAGCTGTCTATCGCGATCAGTGGCAAGTCCGATGTGCTTTTCCCTAAATGGTGCAGCGGATGCGCAAATTTCAGGCCGTCGGCGGTTAAGAAATTGATATTTTCTGAAAGGTAGAAAAGCAACCGAATCAGTACAACCGGAATTTTTATGAGGAACTGATGGATAATACAAGTAAAAGCAGGATGACATACGTTTTTCACTTAGTAATGACTTAGTTACGATAGATTTGTACTGCTTGACACTTTGCAAGTCATCAGGAGCATGAAACAATATAAGGAACGGTAAGCCCTCCTCCGTCAGCTCTTCAGCATTTTCAAACGTTATTTCTCTTACAAATGGCACACATTTCTCTTGCGCCCATACATTTAGTTCATCATAAACTGACAAACTTCCCTTGTAAGTTTCGTCCTCTTCTACAGATAGGGCCTTATCCGATCGGAAGGCAATAATAGGCTCTCCTGGAGGATGCATTGCTTTACTTGCATTCCTACGCATATTATTTCAAAATATATTCAAACTATAGATGTTTATTTAGTGATAAATATATATTATTTCGTCTGCGTCACATAATATTGAAAAAACTTAATAATATAACTAAAGAAAAAAATTCAATTATTCGGTTGTATTATTCAAATCAGTCTGCAATAAATAAGGCATTTCGAACTAATAAAAATTCTCAAAATTAAAAGCTGATTATTAAAAAGGAACATGAAAATTATCAAAATATTATCTTGCCATCGTATGAGAAACTTTCCTATAAAAAATTTGTGTCCAATATATTATGCACCGTAAGATTTCAATAAGATTGTATCATACGATAAATAAAAGATAAGAAATGCGATTACAGAAAATATTATAATATAATTAAAAGTTAATATAAAACATATAAAAATTTTATAGATGCTCAGTACAAAAGCTCACGAGCTTATGTATACCACTTTACTTACAGCAAATGTAAATGCTGCCCAATTTCACAGTTTTGATTGGAGCACGTGCTTGTCAAATGAAATATTATAGCAATTATTATAAAATGCAGACTACACGCAATATTTTTATGTTAACAAACGGGAACTTTTCCACCTTCTTTTAAGAAATATTTGCATCATAAAGTGAAATTTGCGTTACAATAGTTACACGATATCAAGGAGAAAAAAAATCATATCTTACCCAAAACCAACGTAGAACTGGCAATCATCCTTCAAATTAGTGGCGACTTTTCTAAACAACTCGTATTCCGGTACGTCTTTCCTTTCAAAGTATCCTATAATCATGCGCTTTTTATCGTCAAGTTGCTCGAGCTCCCTCAAATTGAAAAATTCTTTAATAGGGTCTTCCAACTGTTTTCTGACAAATTCTTGGAATGCTTCTACCGAGCGCTGCCCCCTGTATTCTCTCTTGGTTGGTTGCCCGTTTCTTATTACTTTCAATGTTGGATATTTGGTTATGTGAAATCTAGATGCCACAGACGCTGAAAAACAAACAGTTCTTATAACAATCTAAATAAATGTAGGTGAAGTCTAGTCTATTTGACAGATTAATATTCAAATTTTGCTCACTGATGTAATCACAAATTATATATTGTACATGTGCCTGTACACAAACAACCATAATAATAAATTATACACTAGTCTCTGAATTTACGCGGTAAAATCTCACCGTTTACGCAAAAACTAAATCAAACAGAAACGAGCGAGAAAAGCATAGCTTTGTTAACGCATACATTAGGTTTGTTTTCTGTTCCTACACTGGTGAACTAGTGCATTAATTAGAGTGAGACAAGCATCTTTTTTCTCATTCTAGCTTACTGCACTAGTTCACCAGTGCAGGAACAGAAAACAAACCTATTGTAGTACGTTTATTGTACTGGCAGACCCTATTTACGCAATTCGTGAAGAAAACTGCTCACGTGGAGCGAATAATCCGCGTAAATCGAGTGTATATTCTCATCCATTTTACAGGCATATTTGAAGTATACTCACTTTCATGATCGCAATCCACCTTGGCCATTACTACTTTCCCAGGCTGAGGAAATTCTTCTCTAACCTTGTCTGCAGCTTCGTCAAATATTGGAGCTAATAGATTACTAAAGCGACACCATTGTGCGTAAAAGTTGATGAACACCAGTTCATTCTCAGCTACGAAAAAAATTTACAATTAAGGAAAGCATCATTTGGCGCTTGGTCGCCCGTCATATGCAATACTTTACCTAACGTAGCATCGATATTTTTACTCGCGAGCGAAAGGGCGCCTTCTTTCACTTCCTCTGCTATGCTGTTCGGCAAACGTACCTGCAAGTGTACAGTATTAGTTACGCACTGCGTATTCGGTTTCGTTAAGATCTAATTTAAACCAAGGGGCTCGATTTTGTGCTTATATATTTTGTGTCCTAGAACAAAAACGCTTGAACGTCGATCTCGCATTAATAAACCTTCGTCCCGAATTATACATCTCCTGCCTTGATTTTAAATCATGAAATGTAGCGTCTGCTCTTTTCAGCTGAACTAGTCATCTTTCTCGTCCCAATGTAGACGACCAATTCTCAACTAGTTGAGTTAAAAAGGGCAGACACTATATTTTGCGACTTAAAATTCAAAGTAGGGCATTTATAACCCGGGACGAAGGTTTATTAACGTATCCCGCACTAATAAACCTTCGTCCTGAGCTATAAATCCCCGATCTTGGTTTTTAAATCACGAAATATCGCGTCTTTTCAGCCGAGCTGGCTGCACCGGTTATCTTTCACGTTTCAACGGAGCAGAAGATAAACTTTGGGCTAGTTGAGCTAAAAAGGACAAGACCCGTGGGCTACAACGTGATGAATTTTATAACAACAATCGCATAAATAAAAACAATGCTGGCGTCCGCGAGATATCGTCCCAATAATACGAGAATATGCAAAAATCTCCCAAATCCTCGCGGGCAGACGTGATTTTTTCCCCCCCAATCCATGTCCCTTGGATTGTTTTTTATTTCCCAGATGCAAGGTTATCGCGACACGACGTATAGGTTAGGCCGACACGGCGAGGGAGGCGGAAGCGGCCTGTCGGCTCGTGAGGCATTTAAATAAACGAACAATCGGCAATTAAGCAACGCGCGGCGACTCGCTCGCCACAGGCGACTCCCGTTAACGGGGGGGAAAGTGCCGAAACGCCCGACACCCGTGACAGCGATACGTGAAATGACGTGGCAGCGCGGGGCCGCGCGACGTTAACTCACCAGCAGACACGCGAGTGTAAGTACTTCGACGCGAAAAATATCACAGCGGGCCAGCATCTTGCGTTCTCGCGACGACTAACTCGACGGTGCGACGAGCCTTTGAAACACCATCAGTGAATCACGGGGCCGCCTCTCTGCGCGTCAATTGCCCACGAGCTATAGCGGCCCGTCGTCGAATCGAGCGTGGCGGCATCCTCGAGACATCGATTATCGCCGCCGCGTGACGTTTTTCGAAATTTCAATAGGCGGAACCGAGCCCCTCGCGGCCCGTGCGCGCGCACGTTTCTGTCCCCCGTCTCGCCCCCGAATTTTGAATAATTTTCTCGTTTGCGCCCGGCCAGGCCCCCCTCCCCCGTTTCGTCCCGTTTTCTCTCGACGTTTGCGTCCACGCGCGATTAATGAGATGCGATTCGATAAACTTGTCCGTGCGCATGTTTAAATGTCAAATCGTGCGTTCGAACGAACGCACACTCGCGGTTCTTAAATTTACACGCAAACGGCACAATATTAAAAATTATATGTAATTACATATAGAATTTTTGTATATTGCGTATCTTATAATATGTTAATTTGTGTGCAATATTATAGGGAAAATCATAGCGTTAGTGTATTACGCGACAATATTTAATTTTGAGAAAGTGATATTTTATTTTATTTCTTAATGTAGCAAACGCGATTGTTGCTCTCGTGTCAATAATAATGGGCGCGCGGGGTCAATTCTGCCTCTTTCTAAGAGGACTGTTAGAAAGAGACAAAGCTACTCACTTTTTGCATTTTCCCAAGGAGAAGAAAAAGTCAGGATGATGTCAATTTGATGTCATATTTATGTCCATTATATACCAAATTTATGTCAAAGTTTGGTCAATATGGCATCAAATTGACCAAAATTTGACATGAATTTGGTCAATACATCAAATTGACTAAAATTTGACATGAATTTGGTCAATATGGCATGAAATTGACCAAAATTTGACATAAATTTGGTCAATATGACATCAAATTGACATCATCCTGACTTTTGGTTCTCCTTGGGAAGATACAGAATTGACTCCCTGATTTTAAAAAGAGAATATTCGGTGTGAGAATACGTTAAAATAACATTAAAATATTAAATACTAATGTGTTTGTGTGACATAAATTGACAATTCTGCTAAATCACCGGCCGATTTGAATAGAAATTGCAACAAATTCGCGTCAATTGCATTTGCACTGTTAATTTTTTTTCAACAGAACGTACTTCTTGTGTCGCCGTTTCGAAATTGTCTTCGTAATTGAATTCACGCGAATGGATATTCGCGACTGCAAGTTTCTCTAAAAAAAAAATACATATCGTCCCTCTTATACCAAAATCGTGAATGCGCACATTTTCACGAAATAATAAAATAGTTAAATGTTAAAATAATAGAATAATAAAATAACGAAATAGTGAAATTGAAGTCTGAGGTAAAAACTGGCTATTTAACTATTCAAATAATTAATTATCTAGCTTATAGTTAATTACCGAGCCGTTTTGTAAAAATTTGCACATTTTGGCATAAATGGCGGCGGTTTATATAACAAATAACAATAATGCTATACTTGATTTATACCCCTTGTTTATTTATTACAACAAATATTTTCTATTTGTATGATACACGATATGTTACACGAACAAACTTTGACGTGACCACAAGAATTTCTTGGAAGAATTAGTTGCAAAACGACCCCCCAGGGTCCCCAGGGATTTAATGCTAAAGTCGTCTGTTTTACCGACACATTTGAATATAGTTTTTGCGCTGCTGAATCTTTTTATTAGTTTTTACGCCTAAAATAATATCAGGATAAGTTGCGGACCGCATAGCAGAACGTTTTTATACTTGAAACACTCGGGTCAGAAGTCTAATGAGAAAGATATTGGTATTTGAAATGTTCAATTTTTTAATCGTGAGCAATTTGAATTTGGCTTTATAAAATTACAAAATTCTTCCACGCGATTACAGTACGCGTAAAAACAAAGCGGGGGGTTCACGACTTTATATAAAAAAACTAAGAGAAATTAAAAATATCAGCATGTGAAGCCTAACCACAATTACTTATAAAGCGATATTTTTAATTTCTCTACGTTT